GCGCCCGCGGCTCCGGCCGGCTCGCGGCAGCGGCGGCGGCTCCCGTCGGGGTCCCGGCGCGGGGCGGGCCCGGGGCAGGCCGCGGCGGGCGGCTCGGGCCTGTCGGGCTCTCTTCACGCGGCGCGGGGCGGGCGCGGGGGCCGCGGCGGCGGCGGCGTTCCACTCGGGCCGGGGGGAGAGGCCATCGGAGAGGGGCGGGCGGCCGGGCCGAGGGGGCGGGCCCAGGCGCCGCGCGGCCCGGGACCCGCGGGAGGGCCGCCGCCGTGCGCCGGGCCCTCGGTCACGCTCGCACCGCTCGCTCCGTGCTCCTGCAGCGGTGGTGGCGGCGGCGAAAAGACACTCTCGGCGGCGACAGGGCGCGGGGGAAGGAGGGGGCGCCGCCGCCTCCGCTCCAATGAGGGGCGGGGAGGGAGCGGGGCGGGGAGGAAGCGCGGCCTCCCTCGCCGGGGCCGGGACGTCAGTGCGCACGCGCGGCCGATTTCAAATCCTCACTAGACACCGCCGCCTTGGTTACCGCGCCTGCGCACTGGGACGCTCCCCCGTGCGGGTGAGGAGGGCACCGCGTCGGAAGGAGACGCGACTGGGAGGGGCTGAAGGGGCGGCGGCGGCGGCGGCGGCGTGGGTCTTTCTAGACTAGACTTGGCTGCAGTGTGGCGCGGAAGAAGTGAGGAGGCTGCTGCGCCGCCTTCGCCGCGACTTCCTCCGCCGGCCCCACCTCCCGCCGTCGCTAGCAGGCCGAGGCCTGGAGACATGCGCGCTGGGGCCGGGGTCCCGGCAGCCGCCCGGTCGCGCTGCGCGTGCGCAGAGATGAGACGCCGCCGCCGCCGCAGCAGCTGGGTGGATGTTTCTGCGCCGCCGGGCAAGGCCGGGGATCCCGCCCCAGGCCTGGTCCGGGGACCGCCGGCTCGCGGTACCAGGGAGCCAAGGCAGCACGGACCACTGTCTGGCCAGTCTTCCAGGAGAAGGACAAAAGTGCCCCCAGGCTTCCTGCCGTCCATCCTCCGGGGTCCTTGTGCAGCCGGTAGTGCTGCGGTCACTCGTGCCCGCCCATGTGCTCGCCGGCGTCCTCCGGGAGGAGCGGTCACTCACCAGCGGCCCGGGCGGCGCTGCCCGCTAAGCCGCCGCCCTGGACAGAGCGGAACCCTCCTAGGAGGATCTCCTCATAGGCATTTTTGTTTCCTTTTAAAAATGATTTCCTATGCCTAGAATGAAGTTAAAACTTTGCAGTTAGCTCACTGGCGTGATTTCTCCAGGCAGGCTTGGCAGTGCTGCCTATCAGAGCAGCGGCCCACGTGCTTGGGTGTCTGGGCTCGCAGCTGGCACAGTGGTGGCCGGATTCCACAGAGATCCTACCCGCGGAGCGAGTCCCCTGTGTCCAGAGGATGCCCCAAGCCCGGTTTGACAGTGCTGTCTTTAGGACTCTGTCGCCAACCACACATACTGTGAAGTGAAAACGCCAGAGTGCCATTATGTAAGCCTGCTTGTGCCCCATGAGCCCAGCCGGTGTGATGGACACCATGGCCCCTCTGGAGCCCAGGCCTGTCCTGGTCCCCGCCCAGCGGATGCATTCCCTGGCCAGGCAACTTTGAGGAAGCTCAGCGCTTGGGCCGGTGTTCCTTTTAAACATATTGAAAGAAGCCCTTTTTAATCTGCTCTTCTGAGTACACGTTACTCAGTGCTTGACACTTCAAAACATCGTAACAACTGAAAATCCGTGTATTGCCTACTAAGGCTCCTTGGCAAATGCTAATCAAACTATAAATGACTTTTGGTTCAGGAGTCTGTATTGCACACGTGGAAATTACGACCAAGGATTAGAACATGTGCGTTAAATAAATTGGAGATCACACACCACCCAGACAGCGGTTGTTCTGGATCTCCCTGCTTCCAGTGCCTAGGGCCAAAATCCCTGGGGTCATCCCAGTCTCCCCTCCCCATAACCAACAGATTCTCTTATGTCTACCTGCGAGAAACGTCCAAAATTCAACAGCTACCCTTCACTCCCTCCATCTACTCACCTACAGCCCTTTAAAGCCACCACTATTTCTAGCATATTTTAAAACAGTGCCTCCTAGCTAGTTTGTCACATTCCAATCTTGTCCTCTTTGGCATTTTCTCCACAGAGCAGCTTGTGAGTGATACTTTAAAAAAAAAAAAAAAAAAAAAAGATTATGTCAGTCTCCCGCTCAAAACTCTCCAGTAACTTCCTTTCTCAAACCCAGGCTTATTATGACCTACAAGTCCCTACCTTGGCTGGTCCTTCTCTCCTTTTCTCCCACTTCGTCTTCCAGCTCATCCCCTAACCCAGCCTGTTCCAGCCAGAAGCATAGCAGGCACAGATGTGCCTCAGGGCCTTTGCACTTGCTGTTCTCCCTCCCCTTGGATACTACATACCCCCATGGGTCCCACCTTACCCACTCTCACACCTTAGGGACGACGTTGCTCAATCTGAACTACAAACCCAACCCTCAACACTCCCCACTTCCATTCCTTGCTTTATGTTTCTCTTAGCATTTATCTCTATTGGTTTCCTAGGGCCACAAACTGGGTGACTCACAACAGCAGAAATGTATTCTCTTACTGTTCTAGAGGCTCAGTGCCTGAAATCAAGGTGTTGGCAGGGCCACGCTCTCTCTCTGAGGTCTCCAGGGCAGGTTTCTCTTAGCTTCTGCTGTTTTCCTTGGCCTTCTTTGGCTTGTAGGTGCCTCACTCCATTCTCTGCCTCCATCACTGCATGGAGCTTTCCCCATGTCTGTGTCTCCTCTTGTCCCAAGGATGCCATTCATACTGCATTAGGGTTCACCTTAATGAACTCGTGTTACCTTGATTACATCTGCAGAGGCCCTATTTCCAAATAAAGCTAACATTCTATTGATATCCAGGGTTAGGACTTGAAGTTCATTTGGTGAGAGGGGGCGGGGGGCACAATTCAATCCACTGTGCCATCTCATGAATTTTATTTACCTTATTTATCATCTGTGTCCTCTCACCCAGCTAGAATCTAAGTTACACAAGGAGGGGGCTTTTTATCTGTACTTTTCCCTGCTGTGTGTGAGCTTGAGAACTGTGATTGGCACATGGCGGGTCCTGGATGGCTACTGGTGAAATGACCAACAGTCGGCTGACCAACTCAATGGGAACGAAAGCCTTGCCTGGCTTCAGGATCTAGCCACAGATTGCTCTACGTCTTTACAACATTTTAAGTTGTTTTTCCCTATGGCTTCCTGCTCTATCTTTGCAATTTGTCTCTAGTTAATCCCTCTAACTTTGATTCATCAGCCATAGTTAACTTCTTATAATTAGATACAGGGTTTCATGCTGTATGTATTTGATCATAAGTTTTTATGTAAATTAGAAGCAATATGTTTCTTTCTTCAAAACAAGAATGAATACTAAGTCATATGTAGTCCCTGTTGCAGTCCCTGTGGCTCTGGGCAGAGGAAGCCTTTCTCACTGCTTATCAGTTTTCACAGATAAGCCCAGATTTTTCCTTCTGTGGCCAAAACCAACTCCTCTTTCTTCTCATGTTGTTCTCATGAACAAATAGTTTCTGAAACTCTGACTACCATGGACTTCCCGTGCCAGAATCGGATATGCTGGTTAAAACGCAGACAGCGAGGGCTCACCAGACCTGAAACTTACTCAGAGTGAGGTCCAGGGATCTGCATTTTAAGTAAATTCCCTGGGCAATTTTAAGCCTAATTCAGGGTTCCCAAACTCAATTGCTCACAGGAACTGAATAGGTTATGTAAGTAACTGAAAAAAAATCAAGGTGTATGTGCATCGGTCAGCTACTACTGGGTAACAAACCACCCCCAAACACAGCGGCTCAAAGGAAGTGCTTATTATTGCTCACAAGTCTATAGATCAGCTGTGTGGTTCTGCTGACCTGGGTCAGACACAGCGGATCTCGGCTTACAAGTCACTTCAGGCTGCACTCAGCTGACAGGAGAGCTGAGGCTGGCTGGTCTAGAGTGGCCACACTCACATGACGGGCAGCTGGCTGGCTGGCAGCTGGAACACCAGGGTTGATGGGCCCATGTAACTCTCCTTATCCAGCAGGGGAGCCCCAGCTTGTTCTCAGGGTGGCTGAAAAGGGTTTCAAGAAAGCAAGAGACATGCCTGAAGTAAGACCTGGCATGTCTTCATTTCCTCAGCATTCTGTGAGCCCAACTAAATGACGAGGCCTTGATAAGATTTGAGAGGGGGAGAAATAGCCCGCATGTCCTGACAGAAGAAGCTGCAGTCACATTGCCAGGGGCGTGGGACGCTGGGAGGAGAATCATGGGGACCCCAGTGGGACCTGAATGAGGAGTGGTGGGGACCATAGGATCCAGGAGAGCACCTGCCTGGTGTATGGGAGTGGAAAGGCACTCCTCCACAGGTGGTCAGCAATGTCAAGTCTCTTGAGAACCTGGACTGGTAGACGTGAGCCTGAATCCTCCCGGTTTGGGATGTCAACCTCTAGGCAGATGCTGCTGGCCGCCCACACAAGTCCTTTGTTCCCACCGCCCCTTTGTTCTCAGGGTGGAGGAGCCCTGGTCCTGCCCAGGAATTTGCATGGCAGGTATGCAGAAAGGTCGTCCCCAGTGCCGTCTTT